GCATAGTTTAAATATATTCCCTTCACTTGAACTACTATGGGCTCTTCTCACCATTTCCTGCGAGACAAGCCTGGTTATGACGTGTGATTAACACTTGTCTCAGAAGATAATTTCATGTTCATATTCTGAATTTATAGTTGACAATAACACTACAGTGGCATGGGCAATACCAGAGCATTAATTTGATGCTATTTCCCTGAAGAAGGAACAATTTGCCGTTTTCCAATTTTATTATTGCTTCAAGAACTGCGGAGCAGCACACCCTCTTATTCCAAGCTTTGATTTGACCCCAGTCTGATCAACCAAAAGCTGTTAACGAAAAGAAAAAAAAAAAAAAGCACACCACCTTTTTTCCAAATGGGTTCTTAGTAGGATTGCTTTACAGTTAAAGCTATGAGATGTGTTCTTGCACATCAGAGATTAGAAAGCACCGTAATAATATGTTTTCATTAAAAGCCTCTGAGCGCTGAAAAAGCAGTAATTTCCACATGGACTGCAAGGAAACAAAGAAAACTCCTTGAAAACGGTGAATATTCTCTTGCAGGGCTTAGGTACAGCTGCTTACTGCCTGCTTCCTACAACCACGCTGAACCACAAAATCCAATGCCAACAACTGTATAGTACTAATTTGCTTTAGTTGCTGCGTTATTAAAGCGTCTCATTCCAATGCATCCTTCCAAGACTCAGTGTAAAACCCTCTTCACGGGCTTCACACGCGCCGAGGAGTGACACAACCAGCAGTTACGGGGTGGGGGCCACCACTGCGCTTGACTTTAAAGGACATTAAACACACTCTGCTTTGTTTTGCCTTAGCTTTCCCTGTCCATCTTGGATATGTCCACATAGTATCAGCAGTAATTTGCTTGGTTGAAGACTGTTACAGATGTATGGTTGTGAGCTGCGAATCAAATATCACTTCCAGTTACCCAGTCAACTTGAAAGTATTATTTTAATCCATTTAATAACCATCATGCTACACGGTAATAAAAATGCAGCTATAACAAAAACGTGCAAGAGCAGTTTGTGAAGGTGGCACAAGTCAGGTAACTTTTATGTATGGATCCTTATATACCACATGACAGCACCCATCTGGTCTTCATGTTTTATTAGAGCATGTTATAGTTATTATAGCATGTTCTATTATAGCAGCTTTTACTGGTGACAGCGATTGGAAACTATTCCTGAAGTGTTTGTAACTTACATACAGAAAGAGTGAATGCAAATCTGGTGTGCAAGGCCGCTGCACCTTTATGAAAGATTGTGCAAATCCAGCAACCTTCCACAAAAAAAATCCCTTCTTACGTGCTTAGCCTGAAGTGCTTTTTATTTTACAAATATTTTTTTTTTAAAGGACATTATCTCTTCTTGCTAAGATTACTCATCTATTCCTCATCTCTTCCTCATAAAGGAGAACAAGTTTCACTCAGGACCCTTCTTTGAAACCCTGCAGCAGGCTCATTCACCACCAACACCTAGGGGAGGACACGTCCCCGGCACAGGTACCGACGCGTCGCTTTGGAACCAGACCAGGAAATCACCAGCTTCCTGGCCCTTGATGCTGCCAGCTTCTGAGCATTAAGGCCTGTTTGGGGTCTGCATTATCACAGGGGGTAACAGGACACAGGCAACTTCATAGCTACTCCCTCCTTCCTCCTCTGGCTCCAAAGATCCTAGAGCAGGGGTGCAGGTGCACACGGAATATCCCGAAAAAGCCCATGGCCAGAGCGTGGGGCTCTCCCCCTTTAAAAGACTACAGGACAGGCCAGACCATTCGCAGTAGTTTGATCAGTTCAGGTACTAAGATACCTGTTTCTAACTCACTTTCTAACACTTTATTGACACACTTGTCCTCACTGGACTTTTTAAGATATATTTTAAATGCTATCTCGGCTGCAATTTAAGAACGATCTGGCCATGAAATTTATAAAAGCAACCGGCATTCTTTTCACCTGAGGTGTTACTTCAGGCCTCTATCAGCATGCTAAAAATAGTATTTTTCATCTAGAGTAACTTCAGCAGCCCCCTCCCAATGATGAATACCCATTGTACACTGAAAGTGCATTTTAAATGTTTGTTCTCTAAACTAAACTGGGACTCCCACAGAAAAAATAAAAAGTCATATTGATTTGCTTTACAAGAGGAGCAGAGAACAGAAATTCTTCCAACAAGACATGAATTTTTAAACTCACAGAACTCTGTGTTCCTAAGGATTAATTCTGTGAGAAGCAGACCTGTACAAAGAGAACAGCAGTGCTGAATTCCTCTCTCCTTCTTTCAAATTGTCTCCTGAGATTAAACAGAAAAATCGGCGTGCGGTCCCTTGTAATTCTGAAACCACCTTACAAAAAGTGCTAGGCAAATGTTCCGACAATTGTTTGAGAGTCAAACTGTGAAGAAAATGCTAGAGACTCTGTTTTATTGCTCCGATAACAACGTTTCTCATTGCCGACATAGACACACACACCCCTGCCCACCCAATTCTATTCTGCAAAGAGGCAACGATCTCTCTGCTACATGTCACCACAGACACGGCCCAAATTTTAACTTACAAAGGCACCTGCATGAAGCTTCACTTGCAAGTACCGTAATTTTAATTCAAAAAATATGTAATTCCATAAGGGAAAAAAAAAAAAAGGTTTCCAAACAAATCCAGATTAATTTATCTTAAGTATCCACCATTACTGTTAGAAGCACCCTTAACTTCCGCTGAACTGCGACTGCCTTCCTGTAAAGCCATAGGGGATCTGCTGGTGTTCTTGGGTGCTACACAAGCTATTTAGCAGCACGTAGGGCCGCTCCTGCTCTACTCCTTGGGGCAAGGCCTCGGCGGCTGCCAGGAAGTCTGTCTGCATCCACCTCTGCTTCCCTGGCTGGTACCTTCGTCTTATTCACGTAAGCCAAACTGCACAAAAATAAATATAAAAATACACTCATCAAGGGTACCAAGTTTAAAAAAAATGGAGGGGTGGGAATGGCTTGTCAACATATATAGGTACTCAGGGTTTTCCTGCTACTTTTCAAGATGCAATTCTAACTGGCAGCTATTGGACTGTCCTAGGCGCTGCACATGCACGGCAGGTCACACAAACCCTGGTTCGGGACGCCTGGCTGAACGTGAGCACTTCCCAGCATTACAGCAGGTGCCCATCAGCATCAGGATACATGCCTTTCAGCAGAAAGCAAGCTTTCTGGAATATTCCTCGATTTCCAAGATGATTTATTTTCATTTTTTTTTTATTATTACTGTTAGTGCTTTTGTACTATTTCATAAAAGATAACTTTTTTCTATTTGTGCATTTTATGATTGGGTGGATACTTACTCCAAACTAAGTATCTGACTCATTTAAGTCACCCTTAAATGCACAGAAAGACTCATATGAAAAGCAGTGATACTAATGAAAACAAATTTCTCATTTTTCAGATAAAAGTTCTTTAACAGGTAGAAAGAAGCACAGTGTGTTTCACAGACCATTTCTCTTTTTCACTCACTTTTTACCTTTTGATAACTTCTAGCAGGGATTGAGAAACTTTTCAACAACTCGCCTTTTTTTTCCCATAATATTTCAAGTTTCTGACATTTCTACAGTCTGCAAACAAGAGAAGTTGATACCTATGGCCCAATTTAGTTTTATTTTATGATTTAATATTCCAGATAGACAACTACACAACCCTTCTGCATCAATCTTCTGTGGACACTAAGGCACATTCCCTTAGAGAACCACCACGATTAATCTCGTAAAATATATTATATTTATTCCTAGTCTATATACAGGCTCTAGTCTCTTTTCCAAGTAGTGTTCATTGTTTTTCCTCTCAAAAGCATAGGGAAGTGTTAAAAGCAGTTTAAAAAGATTCACTGTAGTAAACAGTAAAAATATATATGTATATACTGATGACATTTATTTTAGAACAAAGGTAATAGTAAAGCTGGACCACCTTTGTTTTTGAGAGCTCTCAGGCACAAAACTATTTCACAGAATTGCCTTTATTTCCCACGTTACCATCCCGTGCAGGTTATCAGCTAGGAGTCATCGTCACTATGCACTGCTTTGAAACCGGAGCCTGCACCGAGCTCCTGCTCCCAGCCCGGCGTGAGGCAGCCCGCGAAGCGACACACGTTCTCTACAGCAGAGCTGAACAAACCTCCCCTGCCCAGCCCGACAGGACACGCTGCCTCCACAGCCATCCCGTCCTTCCCATTTCGGGCTTAGCGGCCTGGGCAGTTGCTGTCCCAAGACACCGTGGCCAAGGCAGCTGCAGCAGCAGGGTCTCGCAGGCGCGCAGGCCTCCCGGCGCGGCCCCAGGGCTGCCGCAGTGCTCGGCAGCCGCGGTCCCCTCCGTACCAGGGCCTCACACGCTGCCTTTACACAAGGCCTGCCGTTGTTACTCACACACCAGGTGCTGGCAGCAACAGACATGAAAGTTAGCTTGAACTCTGCCAGTGCTCAGGATATATCACGGGGGCAAGAGTTAAAAGAGGCGGCAGGGAGGTTTCTGCAGAAGCCCCGCCGGGACAGAAGACAAAGGTATTCCTTGGGAAAGGTATTTCCAGAGCAGGGTTACTGAGGGCAGCCCGAGCCCCGGCGCGGCGCTCCCGGCTCGGCACGGGCAGCGCCTCCCGCCCCGGCCCTGCCCGCGTACACGCGGCCCCGCTCGGGGCTGCGCCCGGCTCCTCGTGCTCCCAGCGCCCTGCGCCGCCGCGCTGCGGCCGCGGGCACGGAGCCCCCCGCTGCTCCCGGGGCGGCGAGCCCGTCACCCCCGCGCGGCCAGCGCGGGCCTCGTGCCCCGCCGGCGGCAGCGGCCGCCCCCGCCGCCTCCCGCGCCCGCCGAGGGTCCCGCGGCGCCACGTGACGAGGCGGCCGCCCCGCTCGGCTCGGCTCGGCTCCGCTGGGCTCGGCTCCGCGGCCCGGCTGCCGCGGCCGCCCCCCCGCCGCCCGCCCGGCCGCCGCGCCGGCCGCTTGTGGGGGAGGGCATGTAAACAAATGGGGTTTTATAGCTACCTCACTCGAGTGCCGTGTGCATCTCCCTCTCCGCTCGGTACCAAACCGCGCGGCGCCTCCTCCTCCTGCTCCGGCCGCTCCTGCCGCCGCCCTGCGCCTATTCACCAACCGCGCTTACGCACAGCGCGGCGCACGCTGCGGCCCGCGCGCGCCGCGCTGCCCAATGCGGAGCCATCTTCTCCCGCGCCTGGCCCCGGCTCCAGCGGGCGCTACGAAAGTGGCGTAGCGCCCCCCCGCTCCGTGCCCGCCCCCCGGCGCCCGGTTGCGCTCATCACTCAAGGGCCGAGGCGGGCGGCGCAGGCCGCGCCCGGGCGGAGCGAGCGCAGCGCCGGGCGGGCCGCGGCCCGGGCCCGCTCCGTTCAAGAACCTTAACAACCATTAACATCTTCAGCGTTAACGATCATTAACACGGAGAAACGGGCCCTGCGCGGCCGGGCCTTGGCGGTCCCCACTGCCCGGCACCGCTGCGCTGCGTGCCCGCGGCGGGGCTCGGGAAGGCCCCGCGGCCTCCCCGTGGGACAGGAGCAAAGGGGACGGTGCTAACGGCAGCGCCCGGCGCAGGCGGGACCCCGGCCCTCGGGCTGCTCGTTGGAGCAGCTGCAGGACCCCAGAAGGCAGAACTAACACTTCCCGCAGTGCCACCGGCCTCACGGGCATCCCAGGGCCAGGGCAGCCGGCCTGCACTGCGCAGGAACCAGCCCCGTCGCCCACCTTTTAAAATAAACCTAATTTGTAAGGGCTATTTACAGCAAGTACGTTCATGGATCGAAAGGCAATTGTAAGAACAGTTCAGATGGGGGAAAAAAAATAAATCTAAAACCTGCTAAGTAGGCATGCATTTTCATCGGCTTCTCCAGAAATACAGCGCGGCTGCACGTGAGGGCTCAGGCCAGGCACAATCAGCCCTCTGTCCAGAGGAACCCAAGCTGATTCTTCCCGCCTCTCCTAGCGCAGAACCACAGCACAGCTGAGGTTGGAGGGGCTCTCTAGGGTGCAGCCCTGCTCCAGCAGGGGCACAGGGCACAGGATGACACCCCAACCGAACCCCCTCTCAAGCCGCCCCTCTGCCAAGGTCCACAGCTGCCCCAGCCCAGGCCCCATCCCGCCACACCACCCCAGCAGCTGCCGACGTCATCGTGGGAAGTTTTAGCGACATAACCCTAAAATACCGTAGTGAAAAATACTGAAAAGGTAGAGGATTAACACTGTTAATTTACAAGTCAAGGATAAAATAGATATAGACAAAAGTATAAACCAAAATCACCTTGCAGAAGAAAACCGGGGTACATTTTTCGAAAGTCTGCTATCAGTTTCCAGGACAACAGACTGCCCCCTATCCCCCTTCCCCAAACAACGACTACCACCACAACCACCACCACCCAACCCCACTCTTTTTCATCCCCTAGTAATTTTTTTAGAGGTGAGACAAGTTGTGTTGTTTCCCCCCGTCATTCCTTCCCAGAGCCCTCTCCCCTCATGCCCGGCGGGCAGCGCCACGGCGCAGCGCACGGAGCGGCGCCAGCACAACCGCCTCCAGCCGCAGCCTTCGCCTGCCCTTCTCCCTCTGTAACAACCTACAAGGCCGACATACACACATACATGTATTGTGTGTATGCATGTACATGCCTAATGTGCACACACAGCAGTAGCTCATCAAGAAGCAAGTTTTTACTCCCTATTAGAGACAGGATATTTAGACTTTGCTGCCTAACTCTGCACTGGAGTTCACTTCTTGTTTCCTCATACTGCATCTGACTAAGCAGAAGGAATAATCTTGCGACTGCCTTGGGGAATAAGGAAATATAGCAGAGAATGTTTTCCCCCAGAGAGTTCATCACAATTTACGGTAATACAAGTGCCCTAAAACCCAGTTTGGCATTTCTCCGGGTCACTTTTTTTTTTCTAGATTCTGTAGCAGCCTTTTGTTCCTTCTGAGAAGCAGAGCCACAACTTTGCAGAGCCAGAACTCTTCAAAATGCTGGAGAGTTTCATAGAGAAAGCAAATGGCAAATTCTGAGGCATTCTCATTTCCTAACGCGGATCTCCAAATCTGACCCATGGGACACTGTCTCCCTGTGTTACTGGGGTGCACCAGAAACCAGTGTGGTTAATTGCCCTGCCCAGCTGGCCCCACACAGTCACCACTGACTATATGAGAGGGGGCACCGGGAGCGGGACCGCGAGGTCCTGGCTCCGAGGGAAGGTGCCTGGGCACTGGGCAGAGCTCTGGCATCGCTGCGCACAGGCGGCAGCCGCTCTGCGACCAAAGCTCCTGCTTCCAAACAGGCAGCGATCTGTCTGCGGGGCCTGCGCGGCCTCGCGGCTGCCTGGCTTCTCTGCAGCGAGCTTCAAGGCCAGGTTTAGTCACTCCAAGGGAGCAGGGAAAATGGCACTTTCAGGACAGGCACTGCACGCTTCTCTCGCGCTCCTGTCAAATGGGGCCATCTTGTTCTAGCCTTCCCTGGGCAAATTCCTTTGCTGAGTTCTACATGGTATGAGCTGTGTAAATCCCAAGGCTAATTCAAAGTAGGTCTGCCTTACTTTGCACCGTTGAGAGCGTTTTACTCATCAGACAGGACAAAAAGGGAAAATACACACACATACACACACACATATATACACATACACACACACACACATATCTCTTTTTTTCAGATGAACAGTTCTTATTCATTCTCTCCTAAAAAATATATTCATACATCCACGCAAAAATATGTGTGCTTTGGTGTAAGCTCTGATACCAAACTACTGACCGATTGACGTCAATCATACTTCATAATTTTGAATCTGGTACTTGTTTAAATATTAATAGGAAGTGAATTTAACCAGCAGTCTTTTCTTTTTGATTATGCAAAAAGACAACATATTTTCAAGATCTTTCTTTCAGAAGATTTTCTGTAGGAATCTCTGAAGGAAAGGGCTAGACTTTTTTGGGGGTGAGAAAAAAAAACCCAAAAGCAGAACCACACACATCCCCCCTACACGCTGACATTTTCAGTGGAGAAAAAGCTTTCATTTCTTTTTTATTAGCACTCCCTAAACATCAAAGGGCCTAAGCTGTGATGCAGCGGCAGGAGCTGCTGCGCTTGCTCCACACAAAGCCTTTCTCCTGCATCATGGAAAGAGGCCAATACGACTTGCAGACTTCCAGCAAATTTTGCAAAGCGAGCAATTACTAGTAAAGCTGCTCCCTCCAAAACCCCTCCTGGGCTAACCTCATGCTATTAAATCATGCTGTTTAACTTCATATTCTTTTAAGTAAGACGTGCCAGCTCTCCCGTGGGAAGCAGCCAGGGTTCCTTTCCCTGGTGCCACGGGGTCTGCTTAGAGCAACAAACCCTGAGGACGGGAGTCCCAGGCAGCCAGGCCCCCAGCACATGGCAGGCCTGGGCTCGGGGCTGCTTGTTCCTGTGCCCCCCTCCTTCCCGCCCGTTCCCTTGGAGCAGCCTTCCTGCACGCAGGAACCCCTACAGAGCTCATCCCTAAGGACACGACCCCGGCTAGAGCGCTGCCCGCCGGCTCTGCCCTGCTCTGCCACACGCCAGTTCCTCCCAGGCCCCTCTTTGGTGTAACGCCAAGCAAGCAGAACGCAAGGTTTGTGCTCGTGGCATCTGGCAGCTTTGGGGGATTTTAGGGGGTCCAACACTGTAGAGAAGGCATTGAAAGGAGAGGAAGGGCCAGTGAGCTGCTTGCTTCAGCACACGCCTCGGGCACCAAGGGCTGGGGCTCCCATGCACAAGAAAGCTCTGTATCTGGATCTCCCAAACCCACTTGGAAGCAGCCTCTGCCATGTGCCCCCGTGTGCAGGGGGGTCGGATTAGAGGTCTTCTGGAGGTCCCTTCCAACCTTAACCATTCTGTGATTCTATGATAAACTGAGGATCCCGTCTGTTGGAGCCCCGCAGGTCTCTCAGCAGCAGCAGCAGAGCTGTGGGAGCACCCAGGCGCCTGCAGCCTGCACTGGAGGCCTGTGCCTGCCCAACCAAACTGGACCCATTCCAAAGCTGACCCACACCTTGCTGAAGAGGAAGCGCTTGACTTGAACGTCATCTCTGTACAAGCTCAGCACCATGTTTGACGCCCTCTTCTCAGATAGAAGGGGAAAATTTCATGATATGGTCCCTTAAATTTAACATTTTTCTGAATAACCTGGAAAAATTTAAAAATCTATGGGCAGAATAAAGAGAAAATTAAAGCCAGTATGTCAGCTCGTGCAAATTTAACTACTAATGTGATGACTGGCAGTCATTAACCTAAACTTGGCTGAGTAACAGAAATCCAGCTTTTCTAAAGCTGGTTTTTACCAGGCAGCTGGGGCTCACGCCTCCATTTTCCAGCTAGGGAAAGGAGGGAGCAGCTCGTGCAGTTCCCCTGCTCGGGGGGCGGCAGAGTAGGGGCAAGGTTGCTGCACAAACCTGCCAATGTTCATCATAATTTTTCCACTCTATAGCTGGCACCTATTGCACCTATGTTCTACAACCTGTGCTGCGGTGGGTTGTGTGTGCTATTTTTACAGCAATAGGCACCATAAACGTCTGAGCGCAAAGGAAGGGTAGCAGTGACTGACAGCAGTCTCCAGAGTTGGAGGGTGGGTGGGTTGTTTTGCTTTTCAAACATGCTGTTTGACTCCAAAAAATATATGCACGGGGGCCTGGGACAGTGAGGATGACGACAGCCACGTCTCCAAGGGAGCCCTGCCGTGGAAGCTACAGGTGCAAATACAGTCAGACTGTGGGACACCATGAGCTGCTGCTACCACCAATACCACTGCAATAACACCTTGGTACCTGAAGTTTACCTCGTGGTCACTGCAGCTTTTGCACAAGAAACCGTTTTTAAAACACTGAAATCACCGCTGATGGTTCCTCAGCAGCAGCATTGGCCAAGGTGGAACAGCAAAGGAAGAGGGATGAAATAAGGGAACCGGTAGGAAAACCAGATCTGCTGCAGAGCTGATGCTGCAGGACCCTCACCGTGCCCGCTCCCGAGGTGGTGCTCCGTGCTCCGAGCAGCGCCCCAGAGCAGCGCGCCCGCCGGTGCCCAGGACAC